TTTGGTGATGAATTCGATGGTTTTTAAAGTATGTTCTTCATTTAGAGCTTCTTTGATGTTGAGTGGGAGGTTGAGAAGAGTGCGGGTTGGTTCGTGTATTGGGCATTCTTCAAGAATGTGTCTTATGGTGATATGGATTTGGCATGTGTTGCATATAGGGGGTTGATATTTACTGATAAGGAAGGAGTGTGTGAGAAATTTGTGGCCGATTCTAATACGAGTGATGGCAATATTTTGACCTCGGTTGAAGTCCGGAGGTGTAAACCACTGTTTCACAGAACATTTTATGTGTTTAAGTTTGTTGGTAGGTGGAATGGAGTCCCAGTGGTGTTGCCATGATAAAAAGATTTTATTTTTGAAGGACTTAAAAATATCATAGGATGATATTTTGTCGATGGTGCTGTTGTGTAGAATATTAGAGGCAAGGGAGGCTGCTTCATCGGCCATTTCGTTACCTTTTATTCCTACATGGGAGGATACCCACATAAATTCAAAGGTTTTCTGGGTGTTGATTAGTTCAGATTGGTAATTTGAGTTATTTCATTTCTAGGCCACGGGTTTTTTAGTGCTGTTAGGACGCTGAGGGAATCGCTGATAATCAAAAAGTTATTTGTTTGAAGCGAATTCGCTAGTTTAGTTGCTTCGAGTATTGAGTAGTTTTCGGCGGTGAATATGTTTGTTATTGCGGGAACCTTGTGTTTAATGGTCGTTTGATTATGAACAACTGCGAAGCCGACACCGTTTTCAGACTTTGAGGCATCCGTGTAGATTAGAGTGTGATTAGGGAAACGAGATTGGATAATTCCGTGAAAATGAGATGTTATAATTTTGTGGCTTATCTCATGTTTACAGAGTGTGAGTAAATCTGTTGATAATTTTATGTTCCATAGCCAGGGAGGGTTTTTTTGAAAGATAATTTTTTCTTCGACGGAGGTATGTATATTCATTTTATTGCATAAGTTTTAGTAGATCTTGTATTGTTGTAAGTTTTTTTATGACATTATGATTGATGTCTGGGTTTTGGTTTTTGAAAAGAGGTATATGGCCTATGTGGTTGGGAGTGGTTTTCCTATTGATACAGTGTAGAAGAGTGGTTTTGTCTCTTATGAGTTGAAGGCGTATTTCTCCTGCGTAACATAAAATACTTTCTGTGGGGTTTGTTCTGAAAGCGCCGATCAAGAGACGAATTCCTTCGTGATAGGGTCTAGTGTTTTGAGATGTCTTGGCTTAGCTGTATTGTAGATTGGAGATCCGTAATTGATTTGTGATAGAATTAATGTTTTATATATGTTTAACAAAGACTTTTTATCTGCTCCCCATGTATGGTTGGCGAGAGTTTTTATAACATTCAATTTGGCTTTGCATGCAACTTTTAGCTGTTTAAGGTGTGTGATCCAGTTTAACTTATTATCGAAAATCAATCCTAGTATACGGAGTGATTTATGAAAGAGGATTTGAGTGTTTTTAAAGTAGAGGATGGTGTCTAAATTGAGATTGAATTGTATGCCTTTGCTTTTTTGAGGAGAAAAAATGAATCCAGATTTATTGGCCCATTCTTGTAGAGTATGGAGAGCTTTTTGAAGTATTTCCCGGGTAGTATTTATGTTGGTGCCACTGCAGTATATGTAGCAATCATCAGCGAAGATTAGGTGTTTGGTGGGTTTTTGAACTTGGAGAAATATGTCATGTATGGCTATAAGAAACAAGGTTTTGCTGAGGACTGATCCTTGGGGAGGCCATTTTCAGTAGGGTACAAGTTGGATAAATTGTGGTGAGCTTTGAGTTGTATCGAGCGATTTGTGAGGAAATTTTTAAGAAATGTTAGGATGATTCCGTTTATGCCCCACTTATGAATGATATGAAGGACTCTGTTGCGCCACACCATGTCATAGGCTTTCTCAAGATCTAGTGCTATAAGTATAAGATGTTATTTAGCATTTATTGCATTGCAGATATCAGTGTGTAGACATGAGAGGTGGTTTAAGGTTGAATGATTTCGCCTAAAGCCACATTGGTTGCTGGGTAGAAGTTTAGATGTTTCAAGAAACCATGTTAGGCGTTTGTTGACCATTTTTTCCAAAAGTTTACTTAGTGTGCTTATGAGGGAGATTGGTCTGTAATTGGATATGTTGAATTTATTTTTGTTGGGTTTGGGAATCGGTATGATTATTGCATTGCGCCATGGGTCAGGGTAAAAACCTGTTTCCCAGATTAAATTGTATATTTGAAGTAGTTGATTTAGGCCATTGCTAGGGAGGTTTTTGATGAAAGAATATGGTATATCGTCTGGTCCAGGGCGTTTGCTGTTGCAGTTTGATCTAGCATCCAACATTTCAGAAGTGCTGAAAGGCATGTTTAAGAAATTTAAGTGGGGATGAGAGTCTAACTCTGGTTCATTTGTAGTATACATTTCAAAATTGTTTTTGAAGGTGGCAAATTCTGGGTCGTAATTTGAGTCGCTGCTATTTTTTTGGAAGACTACCACGAAGGCTTTGATTATATCCGATGGTGTTGAGAGTGAAGTATTGTTATGTTGTAGAACCGAGGGTAAACGGTGGTAAGATATAAATTGTATTGCTTTGATTTTATTCCAGACTTCCATTGAGGGAGTGTTGGTATTAATGGAGCTGGTTTATTTTTGCCATGTTTCTGTTTTGCTCTTTTTGGTGATATATCTGGAATGAGCTCTTGCTTTTTTAAGTTGAATATGGTCGAGAGGGGATTTAGATTTTTTAAATTTATTGAGACATCTTTTGTACAGTTTTATTGATTCGTTGCATTCATAGTTCCACCAAGGACCTAGGTTCTTTTTGGTGTTATAGTTAGTTTTACCTATTGCCTTAGTGGCTGCCATCAGGATAGTGTGTGTGAAGTTATTAGTTAAAGAATTGATCACGGTTTGATTGATGGGAGAGTCAATTTCAATTGGGTTCTCCGTGATTGATTGACTTATGAGGTGGTTGAATAATTCCCAATTAGGTTTTTTGGTGTTCCATTTGGGGGGAAAAGGTATTTGGGGAGATTGGTCGAGTAACTCTATGGATATCGGCCAGTGATCACTATAATTATAATTGGTGAGAACTTTCCATTTTGTTTTAGGTGCCAGAGAGGAGCTGGTTATTGACAAGTCGATAGATGAGAAGGAGTTATTTGCTACATTATGTCGAGTGTGTTCTCCGGTGTTAAGAAGAATGATTTGTTCGTTGTCGGGGAATTTTTCTACGATTTTTCCTGTAGCATCGGTGTAGTTTGATCCCCAAATTGGGTTGCGACTGTTGAAGTCACCAAAGAATAAAAATAGTTTTGGTAGTTGTCTGATTATGTTGTTTAGATCGTTGAGTAGTAAGTTGGAGCTATCTGGCAAGTAAATATTGCAGATACATAGTGGATTTTTGGTGTGTAAAGAGATGGCTATTACTTCTAGATTTGATTGTATGGGAATTTCCGTGCTTTCGATGAGGGTGCTGACAAAGACGGCGACGCCACCACTTGCACGGAGATTTGTTTGACGGTTTTTGAAGTATCCATTGTATCCTCGTATTGTGAAGGAAGCGTTGTGTCTAAGATTTGTTTCTTGGAAACAGAAGGCAATGGGTTGGATGGAGAACTTTGCTCGGTGGATGTCAGTGTAGTGCTTTTGTAGACCATTTATGTTCCATTGAATAATATGATTCGTAGATAATATATTTTTATAAGTTATGAAATGAGTGATGATATGGTTCTACAGCTATATGTGTGTTATATTGCTTGAGTTTGGCTTACACAGGGGATTCTTGAGGAGGAAGTGCTTGAAACAGAAGTTGTGCTAGCTTTGAAAGGCGTATTTTGAGTTGACGATATTTTACTATCTCTCGAATCGAGTATAATAAGTCCATTAGAGATATTAAATCGGTATTTGCATTTTTGGTCAGCGTGTGAATATTCATTGATTTCAGAGTAAAATTGTCTAGGATGTATCTAAATTGGAGAAAAGTAATTGGTGAGGAATTATTGGTGGTGAAAAATTCTTCCACTGTTTTTAGGCCCTCTTCATAGGCTTTTTCTTGTCTGTTTGACGAGTTTGATCGCGAACGTATTTTGGGTTTTTTTTGACATTTTCGCTGGTCGGAATGATCGTGGTGGTGTTTAATTTGTTTGGTGAGGAGGGGGGTTTTGAGCATGACGATTCGGAGAAAGGTCTTTTATAGGTCTCGTTTAGAGGTGAGTCATGGGATACATCCGGAGTGATGTTTGATGGTGAAGAGGGCTCTGGTTCATTAGACCAGTCCATAGTGATTTTTTCAAGAAATTCTAATTCAGGTGTTGAGGGTGGGAGAGTGTCTTCTATTTGTACTTCAGTGGTGATATCAAGAGTGTTGGTTGCATTTTGAAACAGACGGATGATCACTTTTAAATTTATCTTCAGTGTTTTTATTACAGTTAGATGTTGTGTGGCCAACCGATTTACATAAAAAACAAGTTATTTTGTCGGCAGTGAAAAATATTCTGAATTGATTATCGTTTACATTGATTAATAATGAGCTAGGAAGCTTAGGGACATCATCGTAATTTATATAAATTTGGCGGCGAAAACTCATTATATGTTCATAGCCTTCTACCTTGATTCCGGCTTTAAGGTGTGTAATTTGTGAGATTGGAACAAAATTTGATTTTTTTAGGGCATCTACAATTGCTTGGTTTGGAATGGATGGACATACATTAGATATGATAAATCTTTTTGCTGGATTTATAAGTCTGCGTATTTGAATAACATGGTCGTGAATTTTAATATGATTTGTTGTTTGCTTTAAGTTGTCCAAAATTTGTTTATTTGACAAGAAAATTGTTACGTATCTCCTTGGAGGTCCGTGCACAAATAAAAACAACGAACACTTTCGAACTAAACGTTACTTTCTATATTTAACTTGAAAAGAAAAACTTACAATACACTTAATGAAATATTTAATGATTTATAAAAAACTAGCAGACCCGGCGAACTCCGTTTCGCCACCAGATTCGTTTTATGTTTTTTTTCGTTTGGTGATTAAAATATAAAGAAAAAAAATTTTTTTTGTTACAAATCGGCAAAAGTCGTTGGTAAGAGTAATTAATCCAGATGTCGCATCAACTGGGACTTTTCCATTTCCAAGATCTAACAATTGTTTGGAAAATTGTGCAGCACTTTGATCATTTTGAAGTTGAACTCTCATATTAGTGGTTAGCGATAATGTTTTTACGTTATTCCATAAAGGTGATGCCTTTAGGCAAGCATTCAATTCATCTGCAGGCGTTCCACGGGGAACTACTGGCAACGTCTGCCTGAAATCGCCTGCCAACAATATCATCAAGCCGCCAAAGATGTTGTTATTTCTCCGAAGATCCTTCAGTGTGAAGTTAAGTGCTTCAAGTGATTTCTTATGTGCCATTGTGCACTCATCCCAAACAATGAGCTTGCATTGCATTAACAATTTTCCCATTGCACTGGATCGGGAAATATTGCACGTTGGAGTATCAATTGTGTTGAAATTGAGTGGCAACTTAAGCGCAGAATGTGCAGTACGACCGCCATCTAGAAGAGTCGCCGCAATTCCAGATGATGCTAACGCCAAAGCTATGTCACATCTTGATCGAATAGTGGCCAAAATCAATGAAATGACAAATGTTTTCCCTGTTCCTCCAGGTGCATCCAGGAAGAATAGACCACCGGTATTATTGTCCACCGCTTGCATTAATGTTTTGTATACTTGTTTTTGCTGTTCATTCAGCAACGGAACATTATTTCTAACGAATTCCTGCAATGTATCAACATTGTATTGCAGCTCTCGATTTAATTCTTGGTTGAATGCATCGTGCATCGATCGATTTGGCGCAATCATTCCTACTTCAATCAGTAGCTTGTTTGCAATAGTCAAGCATTGATCCTCAATCAGAATCAATCCTTCATTGTAGATTTCATCGGTTATTTGGATGTCAGGATTATTCGTTTGAATACGCAAGCGATGCAAGATATCTTCACATATGGCGTATTTGTATTTGTTCCATAACTGAATTGGTTGTGAAGGAAAACATGTGGTGATGATAATTGCGAACAGCGTTCGTATTTGGTACGCATTTGATGAAACAACTGAATCTGCAAGTGTTAAATCCCAATGAGAATCGTTCTCCAGCAAACCCAATAGTTGACATGCTTCTCGATATGTTTTGCATTGGTGGCCATTCACAGTTTTCAAATGCGCAAATGATTTCGGTCCACGTACATTTACTAACAGCAGTCGCAAATAAAAACATTCATCGTTTCTAGGATGAACAGTGTACATACGACCTAGTGCATCAGTTGAAAACACCTGTGGCCAGTCTGGAACTGGGGTTCCTTGTTTGCGACGTTGGAATTTCTTTGTTGATTGATTCCAAGTGTAATACTTGGGCATTTCAACGTACATCAGCGTCGCTGCGAATGGATCTGATTCACACATTGCAAAGAAGCTAGTCAATGTTGTCGATGGTGGTCTCTCAGCTCGTTGTGCCGCATTAGCCTCAGTGAAGTAAACTCTTTGGCCATTTTCCAAATGCACTGCTAAATGTACAACTGTGGGATATCTTTCATGAATTTGAAATGACAATAATTTCCACAGTGCTTCATTAGTACTGACGTATCTGCCCATTTGGAAGTTGCTGATTTCGTCATTCACATTTTCCGACGCAATACCAAACACAGCCATGTCGCTGCCTTTTGTGACGTACTTGCACAAATATTTGATTGATTTGGCCGAATGACAACTCTCAACGTTTGCATGTGTTTCGAAAATTCGTGATAGCAGCGGGCAATATGGTACAATGAATTCATTTCCGATCTCAATCTCTTGATTTTGAACTTTAACTTTGATAGTTTGACCGTTATCTTCTTTTGAACGCCGACGATAAACTGGATATCCATCGTTCCCTGTGACTGTTTCAGCAACTAACGGTCCCGGATATCGTTTTGTGCACTTTCCATCAGCCATGCAAGGCGATAATGGATTTAATGCACCGCACGGTCCATGCACCATCTGTGTCGTCACAATGTCGTGTAGACGGGGATCAGTGACTGGATCAGGAATTTCAGCTGATATGATGTCATCCACTTCATTTGAATGTAATTTGTTCAGCAACCAAATTAGGATATGAGCATGCGGTAGTCCACGCTTCTGCCATTCCACCGAGTACATATAACAACGTGTGTCACCAAAAACTCGATACTTAGTAAGCACATCCATCATAACCTTGAGTTTTTGCTTAAATACTCTGGCGATTATGTCATGGCGATCTTGCGGTTTTTGACCTGGTTCCAACTCGCGTTCAATTTCCGTCCACTTCGGATTGCATGTGACCGTAATAAATAAATCCGGAGTTCCATAATTTCGCACGTACGTCATAGCGTCTTGAGCGTATTCGTGCATGTGGCGTGGGCTTCCGATATAAGTTGATGGGAGAACCGTCAGTCGTCCAATATTCTGAACATCACCATCTGAATGAATAGCATCACGCAAGTGTATATAGTCCTCAGATCGTAGCTTTGGCTGATTGAATCTGATGAACGCTAAACGTTCGGTCTCGACTTTGACATACATGTCGACAGCGAATTGCTGGAATAGCCGACCGCACTTCAGAATGACATTCTTCTCATGTGTACGAATCATCATACGATACGCATAGTAATTCATTGCGCATAGATTTTTATTATTCGTTGATACTCCTAAAAATGCAAAATTAAATGAATTGTTAATGGAAACCAATAAAAGTAATAATGGAAATAATTAGTGTGTGAATATTGTACCTGTAATTGGATCGACCATCTTCAACGTGATGTCGTATCCGATAATGTAAACAACTATCCGTCAACTATATAATAAACAACTATCCGTCAAACACTTTATCACGCACCGTTGCTATTGGTTTGAAGTACATGCTATGTATAATAGATGGCGCTGTATGTGAAAAACGATTTCCCCACTTTTCTGTTGAATTTTTCCTGAATTTTCCAGAATTTTCTTTGCTATAAACCTTACGGAGCCCAAGACCTTTCCAACGAATGCAAAACCGTGGAAATCGGTTCGTGCGTTCTCGAGTTATAGCGTCAGGGAGGAAAACCGGACTTATTTTTATATAATAGATGGTCTGACAATAATTATGTTCTGGCGCGAATCACAATGTTCCGTCTACTGCTCTGACATGCCACTGGCACGGCTTGCTATACAAGCCATGCCTGTAGCCAGCGCTTGCCTGGAATTGCTGTCGCAGCAATTCCAGACAGTCGCCGTCGTACAATATTATATTATACACTATTATATATATATATATATATACTAACTAATATAGCCAGGGGTTCTTAACACCCCCCCCCCCCACCAACTTAAATGGATTTTAGGGACCTAATGGTTCCCTAATGTTCCGTACAATATGTTTTCACAACTAAATTTATGATTATAATGTTTACTTATTATTTAGTGATAAAATATCCAGTAAATCCGGAGAGTACATTCTAATTATGCTGTTTCTAAACTTAATAGCTAATCCACTAACTACGGATATTACAGTTAACATTAAGATATACACAAGTACCATATGAAATTCCATTTAAATATTATTAGAGACTCTGTTGTTACCTTTGGTAACTTACTTATTTCTATTAACCTTTTGGATAAAGAATTAAAATCGTGTACGATACTTATGTCTTTTAGGTTCTGGGGAATTATATTTTTTTAGACTCTCTGATAATACTGATTCCTGTTTTTTGCTTTCTGGAATTAAATCAGTATAGATACCTCTATTAGATCTACTGGTCGGAAATATAATGGAATTTTCTGTATGGATTTCACAATCTTGGGAGGTGGTCAACCTTCCTACGCCTGAGATCTGAAATGATACTATTTGTGGAGGTTCCGCACATTTGATGGTCACTAAAGTTGGTTGTGTGTAAAATAACCATGCATTGGGATCCAATAACTTATCCCAAATGGACGTTGTTAATGTTACAAATTTTATTTTGCAAGTTTCTGGGATTGGTTGATATGTTAGAAGTGCTACTTCGCAAACGTTCGATCTCGAGCGGCGGTGAAATGTTTGACCACCTTTACATAATTTGTAAGTGTTTAAATGTACACATGATTTACACTGTTTCCCTGTCATAGTGAAAAATTCCTCATTATCATTGTTAATTACCAAATATTCGACTTCGGGTTCAATTAAAATTAATGTATTGGTAGAATATATCATTGGTAATGAAACAACTCGATACACATTTAATACTTTACTTGAAATCAAGGGTATTTCAATAGAAAATATTAAGTACTCGTTTTGCACGTAAATCGTTATTTCAGAGATTTTGAAATGGTTTGGCATGGACTCAGGTATTACTTCTATCGGGAGGTCGTTTCCCATGGGTAAGTTGATTTTAATTTCTTTTAACTCCTGTATTAATTTTCTGGGGGTAATTACGCCGGTGTAGATCTTGCCATCCAGTGGTACATTTATAATGGCAATAATGTTTTGTGTTTCGTAAGCATACTGATTGAGAGTTACCTCGAAAAAAAGGCTTGCTCTAACAGTTTATTTTTAAATTCTAATTTGTTGATTTTAACGATACTTTCTTTGGTCAGTCTTTGTAAATACTGCAAGTTATTTTCGAGTTTCTGATGATGTTCTGCGACTTCCTGTGAAGTATGATTTGCATCCAATATTTCTGCTTGTACAACTCTTGTTTTTTCTTTGACTAAATTAATATTCTGAATTTTGTTTTTGGTTAATTCTACGATCTGTTTAAATATTAATTCGGTGTCGATTTTCGAGTATACACCATAAAAAACGTTGATCAGGCGCTTGAAGGTACCTCCCAATCCTCGGCGATTTCGAATTTCATTATTTGAGTTATGCTCTATCGATAACATCGCGTTACGACGATTTAACTGAATTTCATATAAATATGAACGGGTTGTAGTAGAAAATTGGTTTACGAATTGATTACAAATGTTTTCTATTTCTGCATTACCAAAGTTTGCTATCATTTGCTTACAAATTGTCTCCATTTCGCTATACTGGGTCATCAACTTATCATATTTTGTGGTCAAGATTCCAATGTCCACATACGTTACCAAGTTCCATTTAGTGTGTGAAGTTTTGATCATTCCGTGAGATTCATAATAGAATCCTTTGTGATCCGGGAAGGTAGTAATGTTATAATTCTCTTGAGCTTCTGATGTACTATCCCATATCCACATTATCAGGATTACCATTTTCGAGAATGACGGATTTTTCTTGGAAATTCCAGCGAATGCCATGATGAGTTTCCTGGAACAAATTCATTTTTCGTGAAATAACTTTAGTAAATTTTGGTGTATGGTCTGATTCTTCTTGTTATTTTTTTTTATGGTTACATTTTTATTTGTTGGATTTACATCTACAACAGTGACAAGAAGTGGACACATGAAGTGGACCCAACCACTTTGGGGCCAGTTTGTTTTTCGCGGCTTTTTCTTGTAGTAAAACCTTCTGATCGACTTCAAAAATTTTATGTTATGCTGTCTTGTCGTACTGTTCCTTTGACTTGCTCTTTGCTTCCAGCAAATTGTTTCTTGCAATAGCCCGAGCTTCTTGCATTTGTCTTTTGACTTCGAATTGGTAGTCATTATAATTTATCTGAGGTTCTGGTTCGTCAGTGAAAGATGTGGGGATTTTTACAGAATTTCCATAAACCAAATGATATGACTGGAATTTCGTGGCTGAATGAACAGTGGAGTTATGGCAAAACATCGCATATGGGATTTTAGTATCCCAGTTTAGTTGATCTTTTCCGATAAAATTTCGTAAATATTCTGCTAAAGAACGATGACTTCTTTCGAGACTGCCATTGCTCTGAGGGTAGTAAGGTGTGGTCGACGTCTGTCTAATTTTTAGGAGTTTACACACCTCTTTAAAAACGTTGCTTAAAAATTCCGTACCACAGTCTGTCACCAGACTTTGCGGTATTCCGTGTAAGCACACGAATTTGGTCACAAAATGTTGTGTTACCGTATTCGCTTCATGATTCTCCATGGGGGAAGCCCATGCGAATTTAGTGAGGTCATCTTGTAATGTTAAGATGAAAGCATTTCCATTATGTGTACGAGGTAGTGGTCCTACGACATCTAGGAATATTTTTTCGAAGGCTCTGGTAGCTGTGCTGGTAATCACCATAGGCTCTTTTGGTGTTCTTGTCGCTGTTTTATTCTTTTGACAGTTTGGACATTTTTTAATGAATTGTTTGATTTGTTTTCTCATGCCCTTCCAGTTATGTTCTTCATACATCTTATTGAACGTTCTAGTTAATCCATGATGTCCTCCTAGCGGGTTTTCATGCAATTCTTTTATTTTCTGGTCTTCTGTTAATTCATCTCTGGTGTAGATACAGACTTTGATGTTCGAATTTCCAAAGGTGTTTCGAAACATGTTTCGGAAGATTTCCCATTGTAGTCCATCTGCTTCACTTCCAATCCTTGGACAAGCTAGACTGGTTATTTTTAATTGCATACACAATTCTTTAAGTTTCTGTAAACAAATATAGATTGCTTGATACGTCGACTTTTGCCAGTGATGCTCTTTTGTTAATAAATAAAATATTGTTCGTTGTTCTGACTGAATAACGGCTACATCAGTAACTGATTTTTGTTCTTTCCGCAATTGGTCCACCTGCCCGAATTTCCGTCTCATTTGAAGGGCGATACCTCGAGATATATTAAAATCAGCGGATATGCAATGTGCTATTGATGTAGTAGATTCTGAGTCGAAAATATTACCTGTTAGCTCCATTACATTGGTAGTAGGTTTAGCTTCGGTATTTAAAAAAAATTGGTATTCATCAGAAGGCTCTGGATTGCATAGAGGTTCTGAAGTGTTTGAGACTTCCGGTGAATCTACGATTTTTATTCTGTCGGAACCATTTGTAGACGTTACCCTATCTTCTAGTCTTGGAGTTTCTGACTTGGTTTTGGATCTAGTCGTGACAGTTCTGATTCGACTCAATGCATCAGCGTTGGTGTTACTAACACCTGGCTTATAGTGGATTTCATACTCATATTCTTCCAGTTTCAACCTCCATCGGATTAATTGGGACCCCGGGTCTTTTACGTCGAAAAGCCAGCTTAACGCTCGATGATCTGTAATAATTTTGAATTTCTGACCATATAAATACGGTTGGTATTGTTTGACTCCCCATACTATTGCACAAAGTTCCTTCTCCGTT